CAGAGGGAGAAGCAGACTCCCCGCCGAGCAGGGAGCCCGATGCGGGACTCGATCCAGGAACTCCAGGATCATGACCTGAGCCGAAGGCAGTCGCTCAACCGACTGAGCCACCCAGGCGCCCCTTGAATGATAATTTTTTAAAAAGATTCATTTATTTATTTGAGAGAGAGCGCATGTGTGAGCAGGGGGAGGGGCAGAGGGACAGAGGGAGAGAGAGACAGAAAGAAGCACACTCCGCACTGAGCGTGGAGCCCAATGCGGGGCTCAGTCTCATGATCCTGAGATCATGACCTGAGCTGAAATCAAGAGTCAGGTGTTCAACTTAGTGAGCCACCTTGGTGCCCCTTCAATGGTAATTTTTTTAAAAAGATTTTTAAAAAGATTTTTTATTTATTCATTTGAGAGGGAGAGAGAGCGAGCAAGTGAGAGCACAAGCAAGGGGGAGGGTCAGAAGGAGAGGGAGAAGCAGACTCCCCACTGAGCAGGGTGCCTGATGTGGGGCTCAATCCCAGAACCCCATGATCATGACCTGAACTGAAGGCAGATGCTTAACCAACTAAGCCACCCAGGTGCCCATTGAATAGTAATTTTTGAAGGATAATTTCAATTTTGAAGGGTATTGTATTCATTTCCTGGATCTTTTTATTCTGTCCTCAGAATGTCTTATTCTGTTCTTAGGGCTCTGTTTATATCTTTAATTATTTTAAGTGTATTTCTTATTATTTTCAGACAGCTCTTCTATTAATCTCATATTCTCAGGGTTTTAATCCTCCCATTTGTTTGTTTGCTGATTCTCGATTCTTGGACATGGGGATTTTAAAATCAGGTGTCTTGTAGTTTTGGACTGTGAGTTCGTTCTTGGCAAGCCCTCTGCCCCCACCTGTCCTGTGAGAACCTCTTTATGCTTTGACTGGGACTTTGCATTTGTTTCTGTCAGGAGTCCCAGGGACATCGTCAGAACATGATTAAGTTAGGATCCGATATTATGCTAATTCCCAGGCACAATTTTTCTAGGCTGCATGAAGGTTTCCAGGATGAAAGTAGTTAACAATTCAAACCAAGTCCATACAAAATTCAGACCCAAGGTTTCTATTTCTCAAGGTGGTCTTTCTTTTCTTTTCTTTTCTTTCTTTTCCCACTCAAAGCTCAGACAGAGGTGAACATGGCTTCTTGTTCCTTTGTCTTCTCTGCCTGTCTTCTCCCTGTCTTTGCAGGGTGCTGGCTTATGCAGGGGTCTCAGTTCTGAATCCCCATCTTGCTCGGGACCAAGACCTCACCTCCGCTAACTGAAGAGTGTATGCACATCCACACTGTTGCTTCCTGGGGGCAATACTTCATGGGCCAGTCCTACCCACAATCCAATAGCGGACTGAGCTCCACTCCTGTTTTTCATTTCTGGCACTTGTGTGTCTCCTCTTTTTTTTTTTTTCCTGCCGGCTCAGCCATTCAGCTATCGCAGTTGTGTTTACATTTTCCCTAGTAGTTTTAGATAGGTGCAGTAGGAGGATTTTCAGGGTTTACTGATTCTTCATTTTGTTGGAACTAAAAGTATCTTCTCAAGTTCCTTGGCTTTCCCTTTACTTTGTCCTCTGCTTATCCCTCTCCCAAGAGTCTTATTTGGTCCTCTTCTCCTTTCTCCCTATATTGGGAGTCCTCACACTGCGGAGACCTATGAATCCCTGGGCCCCAGTCACTTTTGATAAGGAAGCAGAACTGAGTGCAGTTAGGGACTCAGAATCTACGGACAAAGCTGGGTTTGAATCCTTTTTCTGCCACTTACTAGCTGAGTTACCTGGGGGTACGTGATTTGGCCCTCCTGAGACCATTTCATATGTAAGGTGAGTGAAACCCTAAGTTTAGTGCCCTGGAGGTACACTGTGAATGTGCAGTGAGATGGAAGTTAGGTGGGTGCACTCTGTGATCACACAGGTGATGGCCAGGGATTCAAGGCCCTGAGTCCTCAGGCACAGCATCAAGCACTTTGCATTTATTTCTCAGGCACAATCGCATGAGAGGTTATTACTGTCCTCATGTTACAGATGAAGGAAACAGAGGGCACAAGTGTTTGGGTAGCTTGCCCCACTCCCGTTCCAGTGGATGACTGCTTTGGGCTGAACATCCTTTTTTTTTGAGAGAGAGAGAGACAGAGAACATGCGCATGGAGGAGGGGCAGAGGGAGGAGAGAGAGAATCTTAAGCAGGCTCCATGCCCAGTGCAGAGCGCTACAGGGGCTCGATCTCACAACCCCGAGATCATGACCTGAGCTGAAATCAAGAGTTAGATGCTCCACCGACTGAGCCACCCAGCGCCCCTATGCTTAACATCCTTTACAGGGAAAGTCACTGGAGATCCAAGACTGCTTTAGAAGGGATTTCTTTAAAATTCTCATTTTATTTTACTGATTTATTGGAAGATTGGTTTTCTTCTTTGAATCCTGGGGATGGGGTATGTTCTGGGGTGATCTCTCCACACTCAAGTGTGAGCTGGCACAGAAGTGGGAGGAACAGCTGGTTGCTATACAGCCTCTGCTCCCATGGAGAGCAAAGCTTCCAGAAAGCAAAGATCTCTTCCTTTGACCACCAGATAGGTAAGAAGCCCACCCCGCCCCCAACCCCCAAGCTGCCTTTTCTGCCTAACTTCAGCTGCCCCTCCCCTGGCCCACCTGAGGTGCTGAGCCCATGCCCTGGGCACTAATGTGGAAGGTGGCGCATGTCTGTCTGTTCAGTCACTTCCAGGTACCAAGACACACGCATGAATGCACCCCAGCCGCAGGCACTCCCCACCTCCTCTCACTTACAGAAATAGGCCACAGGATGAAGGGCATGTATCTGTTGATGGCGAAGGTGTAGATAATGAAGAAGAAGCAGAAGACGGACAACTCCATGGTGATGATGAGTGTCAGGAGAGGGTGCACGGTGGTCCCCGTGAACATTACCAGTGCAGCTATTAGGCAGCCCTGCTGGGAGACATGCACCTGAGCTACGGCAGAGGGCTCTCACTGGCTCTACAACCCTTTCGGAGCCCCTTTGGAGCCTGCTCCTTCTCCCTCTTCCCATCGCTGGACCCCCATCCCCCCGCCCAGGGGTACCCGACCAACTTACCAAGCTCAGGATCTTGACCTCAGCGTGCCCCATAACCCAAAACTCTTTATTGCTGTCCTTGAGTTCCCACTTGTAGCGGCGACACCCCTTCCTCGTGCCCACTTCATCCTTGGGCTGCACTGACTTTTCCTTTTTCTTGGGCTCCTGGTCTTTCTTGTCTTCGGGTTTGGGGACCGACGACGGCGGAGGGGGCGGGGGCGCAGCTGCGGGGGGCGGGGCCGCCGCGGCCGCCGCTTTGCCCTTTTTGCCTTTGTCAGCCATCTTTGCGTGGGAGTTCTTAACTTCTCACCGCCTGCCCGATCTCTCCTGCTGTCCGCGGACAGGCCTGGCCTCTGAGCGAGCCTGGTGCCCACCGACCCGCCCAGAGGTCCCGCTCAGCCAACGGCCAGGAGCCGGCGAACGCCAACGCCTGGCGCTTTCCCGCGCGCCGCGTCTCCTCGCGCCGGCTCACCGGGCTCCGGGCCGACCCGGTCGCACCGCGAGGACCCCAGTGGGTGCCGGGCC